TGATACATGTCTTTCTCTGTTTGACTTATTTCACTCAACATAATACCCTCCAGTTCCATCCACGTCGTTGCAAATGGCAAGTTCTCATTCCTTTTTTTTTTTTAAGATTTTATTTATTTATTTGAGAGATAGAATGAGAGAGAGAGAGCACATGAGAGGGGGGAGGGTCAGAGGGAGAAGCAGACTCCCTGCAGAGCAGGGAGCCCGATGTGGGACTCGATCCTGCGACTCGAAGATCATGACCTGAGCCGAAGGCAGTCGCTTAACCAACTGAGCCACCCAGGCGCCCTGGCCTCTTATTTCAAACAAGGTGATTGGATGCAGTTACTATTTATACAGAGAACAAAGCAAAGAAGTAGTGATAAAAATTTGAAAGTTCATTTCCAAACCCAGCATAAGAAAATGGGGGATGGTCTAAAAATTTCACCTAGAGAGAGGTGACCAGTAATTAAGGAATACTCTTACTTATTCTATCAGTTACTAGATTTTCATATTCCATTGTTCAATAGACTGGCATGGTAGAGTATGGAAAAAAAGAAGAAAGTGACCAGAGGAACTTGTGGCTTTGTGACTTGTGGCTCTTCTCTCTCTTTTTCCATACACTGACAGATGTATATAAATACACACAGATATCTATATCTATCAATATATCTATATATCTAGATATATAAATAGAACTATAGATGTGTAACTATATCCATGGATATATAAATAATCTATGCATTAAATATAGATATCTAGGGATAGATGATAGATGATAGATGATGATAGATGATAGATAGATAGATAGATGATAGATGTATAGTAGATAATTTTAAACTTACACAGTAGATTTTTTGTAACGCTGCAATAGGATATTTTGGTGGGCAAGCAACCCAGTTAGCTCTACAAGGAAAACTATCTTGTCTGGCTTGTGTGATAACTTCATTGTTGTTTTGGACAACTCTTAGGAGCCTTTCATTTTAACGCCATTTTTAAGCGGAAGGGACATGAATTTAAAATGACTTTGGAAACCTTCCTGAAATATCTTCAGAGAATCCCCTCACCAGGGCAGCCGGAACCATCCTCCACCCAAGGCCCATGGGAGGCAGTGGGAGAGCCCCTCCACTCAGTGAGAGATGTAAGAAACCATTTCAGGCAAAGTCTGAGAAGACAACTCCCGCCCCTTCCTCTCTGTTGGACTTCCAGCTGCTCCATCTGAAAACACGATGCGCTGAGACCCTCCCAGCCTCTCCATTCCCGGCTTCCAACTAGAGTCCTGGGGAAACAGAATGCGAAATGACCCTCGGGAACACGCCCTCCTTCCCGGAGGAGCGAGAGGGAATGGCCGGGACTGGGCCAGCACCGCCAGGGCGCGGGATACCGCCCAGGCTCTGCCCCAGTCCCTGAGCCACCTCCCTCCGCACCCCCACACCCACCCAGCGCGCGAAGGCACTGTCCCCAGCACCCGCCCCAGCACCACTTTGCTCTGACGTCCGCCTTCCCAGCTCTGACGATCGCCCCCGCCGGCCGCCCTTATAAAGGGGACTTTTGCCAATACTGGGATCGATCGCCACCTCGCCCGCGTCGAGAGCCCTCCGCTCCAGCTCACACACCTGTCAGCTCCGCGCGCGCCCAGGTTCTGGGAGACCGGGGGCTGGAACCCCGCCGCCTGGCCCTACCCCTCGCCCCTCGGCACCCCTGACCCTCCCCCACCCTCCGCACCCTTGGAGCCCCCAACCCCCACGGTGCCTGGGCGGCGGTCCCGGAAGGAGCCCCAGACGGCGGAGCGCTTCCCCGCGCGGCTACCACTCCAGGTAGGAACAGAACGGGCATCCGGGGCGCCTCGGAGCCCGCTCCCCCTGGGACACGGTGGCCGCCCCATCGGCGTTTTTAGGTAGAAGGGACGCGGCTTTTTCTCCTCTCGGTGGGGATGCGCGGGCGGGCCCACTGTCTGGCACCCATGGCTCTCGAGGTGCATCGGCGGGAAAGTCAGGGCGCTGGAGAGGGGCCACGGGGCCGCGGGAGGGATAGCGGGGAGCTGGGGAGCCCCCGGGCTGGGCTGGGGAAAGAAAGAACTTCCCAGCTCTGGTGTTCACAAAAGCGGAGCGCATCCAGCCTGCCCGCGCTTCTTTCGCTTCCCCTGAATCTGAGGGAGGCTAGTTCTTTCGCCCAAGGTCTCATCACCTACCTGCGGACACAAATACTTGTATTTCCCCCAGAAACGTGCTTGTGTGAACGCGAGTGCATGAAATAGCCATAGTCACGAGGGCTGAAAAATAACAGAGAGCAAGAATTCCAGGAAGTGCAGGCGTTAAAACTTGACATCTGTCTCTTAAAGAGTCTTGTTTTTAATACCTTTGACGCCCTCTTATATTTTTAGGCAATTTTGTATTTTTAAGTCGTTTTCTTGTATATACCATTAAAAGGGTGGGGGAGAGATGAAAAGAGCAAAGAACAATGGATGAGGAAGAAGAGCTGGCCAAGAGGGTGCACTCTTTAAACAATGTAACATCTTTAGTTGCTACAGTAACTTGGACCACAGGCACTTGTTGAAAATTGGAATTGATGTGTTTTTGAAACTGATTTTCCTAAAGTACTTTTCCCCCAGATATTTGCATGTCACATTTCTTCTGGAACCATTCCCTGAAATTGTTTGAAAGGAGAGAGAGAGGAATGAATGAATGAATGTAAGACTGTTAGAATTCTCAGAGTAGTCTTACACTACCCTTTAGTTACTGAATAATTCTAGATGGAATAGTAAGTTAGTTCCAAAAGCCAAGCATAATCTTTGTAAATGATTTCTTGACCAAGTTACAAGGTTAATTTTAAATTGAAAGAATTTATTAGACACAAAAAGTGACGATGGTTACATTTGTTAAGCAGCATTTTCTATTTTTTTTCTTTTTCTTGAAAGCTCAAAACAATATTAAATTGTTAAATAGTAATTAGAATAAAATAGTGGGCACGTGTTCGCAACTGCTAGTGTCATATGTAATTTCAATGTGCTTTTTCTGTAAGCGGCACAGGATCTCTCATGAGCCAGCTGGTTTATTCCCAGCTGCCTATGCATGCTTGGCTGGTTTATAATGCATTACTGTATTTTCTTCAGAAATCTTAATGAAGTAGCTAGCTGTGGAAGAATCTGGACCCCTAAATAAAAATGACTTTCCAAGTGGAAGGACTGATAGCTATCATCGTGTTCTACCTTCTAATATTGCTGGTTGGAATATGGGCTGCCTGGAGAACCAAAAACAGTGGCAGCTCAGAAGAACGCAGTGAGGCCATCATAGTTGGTGGCCGAGACATTGGTCTGCTGGTGGGTGGATTTACCATGACAGGTAGGTTCTGATGCCTCCACTCTGTGCTGCCCACCCCTCCTTAGCTTCTCAGAGTGACAAAGCATACCTTAGCCTCTGTCCTTTGGAGATCCCTTATATTCACTGCTTATATATTCTAAAAATAATTTTACATTTATTTAAAACAAAAATAAAATGGTTTCAACTCAGTAGTACTTGAACAAAATGATTTTATAATAAATCACTGGACAGAATATGGATGAAATGAATCTGGGCTATCTGGACAGTTCAGTGGGTGGGAACAGAGTAAAAACAAAGAGGTGGAGAAAAGTGTCTTAGTCTTACAAGTTATGTGATAAAGTCAGTGTCTCACGTCCACTAACACAGGCACAAAGTTGTGACTTTGGGTTGTCTTAAAAGATGATGGTTTTCAACTAAATAAATCAGTTAGGGGCAACACAATTCCAAATTGATAGATGCCCTGTCTTGAAACCTAATTCTCCCATTTAATAAACTAATTAACTAATTCCCTCAGGGGAAGACAATCACATATTAGGAATCCACAGCACTGGAAAAAACAAAAACAAAAACAAAAACAACACAATGATTTCCATGAACCTTGATATAAAAGGGGAAAAGCTAGGGCATGTCCTAACAGGAATGCCTCAGCCAGCATCTGCAGCCCTCTCCCTCTCAAACCACCTCTGGGCTCTGAGGATCTGATGCCCTGAGATGGCTCTGTTTAAGTGGTGACTTGTTTCTCTTTTATATTCCTCTTGGTTGTAAAAAATATTTCTGAAAAACAACAATTTAAAATTATATCTTTAATACTCACTAACAACACACATTTCACTTCTGATTCTTACTAGGTTTTTAAACATTAGCAATATAATCCACACTAACTGGAACTCTGAGGGCCCACTGGAAAATATCCCATCAGAAATCATATCCAAATGATGCCAAATTTCAGTCCTGATGTGCTATTCAAACGATTCATCTGTAAATGGAATGGTTTACCAAAGCAATCTGTGAAGACTACATCCCTGCTGGCCATCTGAAACCTACCATGTTCTAGAATAGTTTAAGGACTATAGGTTTTATTTTTCAGATATGCATATTTTATGTTCTTTAACTCTTTGTCAACTGTATATGGTTTCATATGATCTTCATGAAGCTCTTTATGTTTGCGCACCATGAAAGGGCTCTGGGGTTAAGTAAAGACACAGAGTTACATGGTTAACAAGGACCAGAATCAGCACCAAACCCAGGTCTTCTGGCAGCCACGCCCTGAAGCCCCTGCAGGGTGCACTGCATGCAGACCTCCAGCTGACTTTATAAAGGCACTTCCTTTGTAAAGAGGTCCTTTTTTTTACCCTCTGTTGCTCAGTTTTTCTACATAAATACATATATAGAGCAAATTGTATCATGCAAAATATTTTATGTGATAGCTAATATACACAGTTAGATTAAGTACAAAAACAGTAAGAATCATCCATAAGCCTACCACCTGCATATATGTTTACTGAAATGTTGGTATACATTTTCAGATATGGTTTCTCTTATTATCCACCTATTGATGAACACCATACACAACTTTACATCTTCATTTTCATTGTTTATTATACCATAAACATTTCTTCTCTACCCTAAAGATCCAGATGTGATACTGGCATCTGAAGTGAATTAAAACATTGTGATTATATTCCCTTTAGGTTTTTCCTGTACAAAGAAAATGAGAAGAAAAACAAAATAAAACAGTGAAAGTTGATCTAACTCAAGAAACTGTTGAAAAGAATAAATGAGCTGCTCTATATCAAAGTCTTTGTTCATTGTAAATATTGTTCATTATAATGTTCTATTACTCTAATGTTATATCTATTGTGTTGATAAAGATAATATTTCAGAATTTGTTCTTTTAGCACCTAGAATGATTTTTTCAATGTAATAGTCTATTAAAGTATATAAAAAAATTTGAATCATGGTATTTCATATGAAGTGTCATGGTCTAGCTCATTTTTAAAAGATTTTTTTCAGTCTTTCAGAACTGAAAAGAATCTTGGTCAATATCATAATTCATTTAAAATCTGAACCATATTATCTAAACCTTGTCAGATTCATTAATTGTATATATTTAACAAAGAATAAAGATTAAAAAATAAAAACGCATATAGTTTGAAAGAATTCTTGTTCTCACTGGTGAATCTGACATGAAATATACAGACATGAAGAGCAAATTCTGGCCTAAAAGGGATGAGACTGGTAAAAATGGGAGGACTTTAACATGATAAGTAACCAAGTCTTCACTTCTATATTATAATGTTGATATTCAGTCACCAAGTTTGTTTTGGACAAGGGAGAGGAGACCTGCACAATGAAAAATGATCATTAATAAGACCATTTACTTTATGCAATGAAAACATTGCTTGCATGTTGTTAGCAGTTCCAGTTGCCTAGCAGGAGAATCAGGTCTGATTCTGCACCTGTGAGAATCATTTCTTCAAGTCCTAGTTAGACATCCAGTGGAGGGGGGAAACCCTATTTATTTTTTATTTTTATTTTTATTTTTATTTATTTTTATTTTTTTAAATTAACATATAATGTATTATTGGTTTCAGAGGTACAGGTCTGTGATGCATCAGTCTTCTATAATACCCAGTGTTCATTACATCACATGCCCTCCTTAATGTCCATCACCCAGTTACCCCATCCCTCTACCTCCCTCTACCCCCCTCCCCTCCAGCAACCCTCAGTTTGTTTCCTATGATTAAGAGTCTCTTATGGTTTGTCTCCCTCTCTGGTTTCATCTTGTTTAATTTTTTCCTCTCTTCCCCTATGATCCTCTGTTTTGTTTCTTAAATTCCACATATGAGTGAAATCATATGATACTTGTCTTTCTCTGATTGACTTATTTCGCTTCGCATAATACCCTCTAGTTTCATCCACGTCATTGCAAATGGCAAGATTTCAATTTTTGATGGCTGTGTAATATTCCAGTGTGTGTGTATGTGTGTGTGTGTGTGTGTGTACCCCATCTTTTTATATTCATCTGTCAATGGATATCTGGGCTCTTTCCATAGTTTGCCTATTATGGACATTGCTGCTATAAACATTGGGGTCCTTCCGATCACTACATTTGTATCTTTCGGGTAAATACCCAGTAGTGCAATTGCTGGGTCGTAGGGTAGCTCTATTTTCAACTTTTGGGGAACCTCATAGTGTTTTCCAGAGTGGCTGCACCAGCTTGCATTCCCACCAACAGTGTAGGAGGGTTCCCCTTTTTCTGCATCCTCGCCAACATCTATCGTTTCCCAACTTGTTAATTTTAGCCATTCTGACTGGTGTGAGGTGGTATCACATTGTGGTTTTAATTTGTATTTCCCTGATGCTGAGTGATGTTGAGTATTTTTTCATGTGTCTATTGGCCATGTGGATGTCTTCTTTGGAGAATGTCTGTTCATGTCTTCTGCCCAGGGAACCCTGTTTAAATTTTCTGGAAGGCTTAGAATGAGAGAAACAAATAATAGCATTTGTTATTTGTTAACACCCATGTAAAAACTTCCAAGCAGATGAGAGTGGCTGTTAAGTGCATATTTGTCCACTTTAGGATTTTGCATATAAACTTTCCATTTAAATGTGTTTAAAATTCCTTTGAAGGGAGGTCTTTTCATGTTAACCTTTAAATAATAGTACTAACCCCACAACATTCTCTTCTTTGCTTTGTATTTAGATCAAAAGCCAGATAAATTTTGGCATGATTACAATAGGTGTCTACCTGTCTTTGACAGTTTCATGTACATATTTTTTTATTTTACTTACATTCTGTGAGATTTCAAATAACTTTTCAGAGTCAAATTTTATTCCCAGTTGGATGATATAGCCTAGAATTCAGACTCATATCTGGTAAGCCAGCCTTTGTTCCTCATAATTTTATACAAATTCTACAAGAGATTCTTTTAAATATTTTGGCAATACTCCTCAAAAGATATAAACTATAAAGATTTAAGTGTTCCATTAACTTTAGCTTTTCAGCAATAATCAAATATGATATTGCCTTCTCACAGAAAATGGTAGAGTTTATAGATCCTTCTTGGCCCAACCTTGTTTAACCAACATGTGTTTTCTTTGGTTCCTTGACCTCCTCCTTCAACTATTATGTTACAGATATTCTATTAAATAACACCTGAAGAAGATAATATTTCTTATTATTCTCCATGAAATATCAAATTTCCTACTAAAAGACCCAGATTAAAACAAAGAATACAAGTGGGTATGCAGTCAACATTTCAAATTCTAAATTATTTCTTATGCCTAAGTGCATGTTGGGTACTTGGCAAGAGGGAAGGAAAAGATAACTTACACTTACTTTAGGAAGCCTTGGAGCAAAAGTGTCATCTCTCCTTTAACATTTTAAGAAAGTAAGTAAGATGTTTAAGGTGATTAAGAAGTGACCCTATTAATAAAAATAAAATAAAAAAAAAAAAGCACATGCATCCACAAATGCACATGCACATACTCCCCCTGCCACTCCCCTGCACCAGGAATATAACTGTGATCAATGTGAGAAGAACAATACAGTTAAAACAGAAGGACCTTAAAATAAAGAAACTTGATAAAAAGAAAAAAATAATAAGGAAACTTGACCTCATGTTATGGAGGCTGGAGCGTAAGTTGTACTATTATTGAGAATAGAAATAGTCATATAATATTTTGTATATAATGTCAGACTTTGGGATATAATATTGTTTGAAAGTATTGATGACTAAATAGACTCAGAACACTGAGGAGAACACTGTCCAGAGAAATATCATGTGAGCCATAAAGGGAATGTTAAACTTTCTACAAACCATTTTAAAGAACATGAAAAAATAAGGGAATAAATATAAATAATAGAATGTATTTAACTCAATACATTGAAAATGTTTTCATTTCACCAGTTAATTAATACAAAAAAAAAATATTGAGACAGCTTACATTTACTTTTGCATACTCGGTCTTTGAAATCCAATGTGTATTTTACACTCAGAACATTTCAGACCAGAGTAGCCAAATTTCAAGTGCTCAATAGTCACAGGAGGCTAATGGCCATTGTGTTAAACTGAGCAGTATGCTAAGTATGGCCGTGTCTTTCCCTCACTGTTCATTCTATTTCAGCCACCTGGGTCGGAGGAGGTTACATCAATGGGACTGCTGAAGCAGTGTATGTACCAGATTATGGTCTAGCTTGGGCTCAGGCACCAATTGGATATTCTCTTAGTCTGATTTTAGGTAAGTGAAAGTTTAAACCTTAGTGACCCACTCAGTAAAGCATAAAGAACAGGAGTACAAACAACAAGTGCAATAACAAGTCAAACTGTGAATAACTATTGCGAAAAAAAAAAAAAATGTTACCAGAAATCTCTCAAGTAGATGTTACCAGAAATCGGTAACACTAATGCTTAAGATTATTTGATCCCTTGATTATGGAGTATGTTTTTTAAAAATCCCTTGATCTATGGCAATAGAATTGTGAATTTCTTAACATATGATTTTTTTTCTTTCAAAAACAGTATAGAGGTATCATTAACAATGAATCAACTTGAATTGTACCTGAATTTCTTTTTGTAAATCAAACTAAGAAAAGGTCAAGAATATTATATAACAGAGTTCCTAATTTTTTTTTTTTTTGCACTTAAAATACATTTATTGGATCTTGTGCTTAATCAGTGTCTGAATGCTATGCTGGGTGATACAAAGGCATTTTAGTGAGTGCCACACTGGTCCATGTTTTTCAATCCACATGCCTTGGATACACCATTCAATGGCCCTTTGGCTGCCTACAATGACAAATGTATTAAGAAATTCATGTTTGGTTACTAAATATGTCTTGGTTCTGTACTCACAGTATATTTCAGACTAGTTCTTCCACACATATCAGTGTTCTAAAAAAAATTATTTCCCTTGAGAAATTATAGCATAGTAAAAAGTTGGCAAAGACTATTATCTTATGAATTTTTTTATTTTCTCATAAACGCTTGTTTAATTTATTTTAGGTGGTTTGTTCTTTGCAAAGCCTATGCGTTCCAAGGGATATGTGACCATGTTAGACCCATTTCAGCAGATCTATGGAAAACGCATGGGTGGGCTCCTATTTATTCCTGCACTAATGGGAGAAATGTTTTGGGCTGCAGCCATTTTCTCTGCCTTAGGTAAGGACCTCTGCCTCTCTCTGGTTAACAGAACATCACAAACCCAACTTTACTCCCTTAAGCCACAGGCCAGGCCACCTGCAGCTTCCCTCACCTGGATGAAAGCAACCATCTCCCCGCTTATTGTTCAGCGCTCCTCCTCTATTCTACACATAGTACAGACTCATCCTTCTAAAATGCAAATCTGATCATGTCCCTTTACTGTTCCTTTCCAAACTTTTAAGTAAGTGCATAAAGCTTTTTATGACTTAGGCTCTGATTCTTCTCATCATCGCCCCTCCTCCTTCCTTTTTCCAGAACTCTAAACCTCACCTCCTCTCTTGCCTCTAACACTGTGCAAGTCCAGATGCCCTCTACTTTGGACTCATTCCTGCCTGCCCTTTTGCACATCTGCCTAGCTAACCAGGAAATGTCCTTCAGTCTTCTCTTAGATGTCGCTTACTCGGACCAGTAATCCTGACCTCACTGGATGCCTTTCCTGTGGGCTTCCTTAGGCACCTGGAATTTTTTCACTGGACTTGTCACTTTGTATGATTATGTGCCTGTTTATCACGCCCAAATCCAACCTCAAAAAAGGGATTATAAATTTCTTGAAGGCAGGACTTGTGCCTTGTAATCTTATCACGAATGAATGAATGAGTGAATGAGTGAATCCTCTCTACTTTCTTCAAAAGAAAAACAATATTACTTCTTTTCTCAATGTAATCCTAAAGTACTGAGTTGTACACATGTTTAGGGATCTAGAAAATGAACTGAGACTCCAGTAAATGCTAAGGACCACCTATCCTGGGCTCAATGATTCTCAGCCCACTTAATAAGGTTTAGAAAACGAGAGATTTCAGTGGGATGATGGGAGATTGTCAGTCAGGCTTGATAACCTGCCTTTTGCTCAGGGGAAAATATAAACCATTTCACTGAGCGTTGAGTTCCTTCTTGAAGATCAACAGAGTTGGAAGTTCCACAACCTTCCTCAGTGAACTATGTCTGTGTTTGACATCAAGGTATCTATGTATGTTTCTCTCCATCTCTTCTTACAAATGAAGATAAAGGGCTTCAGTCTACAGCTAGACCCCAAGTAGTCAAAGCAAAAGTAAAATAAGATGAATGTCCTTCTGTGGTATTTATTCCAGACCACAAACTTGTCTTCTGGCTTCAGTATTATCATCATATCTAACCTCTGTAATATCAGATATTAGTTTATGTTACCTTTCACTCCTTTCTTTTTGAAACTCCCATATAAGCTTTCCTTCTTGGTCTCCAACTGTAAACTGAATGGATGATTTGATGTAGAAAAGAAGAGAGTTTGATAACTATAAAATGATGTATAACTCAGTTGAAAATGTTGCACTTTCTTAGTGCAATATAATAATACTCCACAATTATCATTGCACTTATATCCTAATGAAATTATGTGTAAAAATACACCTCCCTTCCCACCTTGCTCTCATTAGCCAAGAAGCAAGCAATGGGTAGTTTATTTGTCATTGGTTTCAATGCTAGAAAATGTTGATTTTAAGAACAAGCTGCCTGCTGAGATATTAAAAAAGGAGTGGGCTGAATAGCTAACAAAATACAAAATGTTCACTCTCATGGAATAAAGATCAATTTATATAACAGAGCCCTAAAGGGAGGATTGAATTAATAAACTAATATTTCTTTTTAAAAAAGATTTATTTATTTTAGAGAGAGCACGAGCAGGGGGAGGGGCAGAGGAAGAGAGAGAGAAGCAGACTCCTTGCTGAGTGCGGAGCCTGAAGCGGGACTCGAACTCAGGATCCTGAGATCATGATCTGAGCCGAAATCAAGACTCACACGCTCAAACAACTGAGCCACACAGGTGCTCCAACTCATATTTCTAAAGTATTTTGGAAATATAAACTTGAACTGCACTCTGAACTTTGTTGCAATTAGTTGCTTTTGTATATGTGTGTGTCTATGTCTGTGTGTGTGACAATATATATGTAAAATATGTGACAATATTTATGTAAAATATGTTGATATATATATATCCCTCTCTACATAGATGCACACACATATCAAACAACATGTATAGAATCATCGCTGCTATTGCTTGAAGTATATGCTCTGGTAAACAGAATGTGTATTTTTAAATTAACACATATTTTCTTCAAAAATAATAGTTGGACATAATTCAAAATTAGAGTTTATTAGAAATAACTTGGAATTCTTAAGAATAGACAAATATAAGATCTATTACCACCTTCCTGTGAATGTGCTTAGTTCACCACTGAAACTGGGGAGAATTTTAAACTCTCTTCTTGGCATAAAGAGACAACATCCTTCACATGCATTTTTTTAAGAAATACATATTTAGGGGTGCCTGGGTGGCTTGGTCGGTTAAGCATCCACCTCTTGATTTCGGCTCAGTTCATGATCTTGGGGACATGGGATCAAGTCCTGCATCAAGCTCCACACTCAGCTCCCGGTCTGCTTAGGATTTCTCTCTTCCTGTCCTTCTGCCCCTCTCCCAACTCTAAATAAATAAATAAACTCCCATTCACTATAAATAAATAAATAAATAAATAAAATCTTAAAAATGTATGTTTACACTTCTCACAGCTCAAATTCAGTGAATTTTTATAATTTTATTTATAGTATGTTTATTTTTATGGCTGCATGAATAAAGTAATATTTCATAGCAGATCTGGAAGTATAACTTATTTATTCACTACAAATGATGAAATTATTTAGAAAAAAATTTAGGGACGCCTGGGTGGCTCAGTTGTTAAGCGTCTGCCTTTGGCTTAGGTCATGATCCCAGGGTCCTGGGATTGAGCCCCGCATCGGGCTCCCTGCTCTGCGGGAAGCCTGCTTCTCCCTCTCCCACTCCCCCTGCTTGTATTCTCTTTCTCACTGAGTCTCTGTCTGTCAAATAAATAAATAAAATCTTTAAAAAAAAAGAAAATATTTTAGAGAAAAAGTTGATCCTAATCTTAATAGTGATAGAAAAGTGGGTGACTTCTTTAAAACCACTGAGTTGCAACCAAATGGTAGTATTTCCCAGTATCTAAATCTTTAGAATCCTAGTTCAGTGATCTTTCTTCTATACAGCCTCCCTCCCTACCTTTTGGAGGTGTAGAATTAGTAAAATTTTCACTAATGGGTAGAAAATTAAACAGAAGTCCAAAGAGGCAGGGTAATAATTGTACTTTTCATAATTCATGAGATATGACTTAGAAATGTTGTTATTAAAGAAGAAAACCAGGCCAAAAGAAGAATGGCAAAGAATTGCAACTAAAGTTTCAACATGAAGTAAATAATTGCAGGAAAAAAAACTTGTTAAATATCTATACAACAATAACTCAGTCAATTATCCAAAGTCACTTATAAATAATTGAAATAATTGACCACCTTCCCTTGTCTTCATCCTCCAATTCCTTACCAGAATTTTCATTTTATTAATTGGCTTTACTCAAGAAAATAATTTTGTTACCAAATCCAAAGCACTAAGAAAAAAAAATCCTGAAAAAGATTTTATATTTTTATCTTAGATCAAAATATTTTATGCTGCTCCTTCAGAAAATGGATTTTCATCTCTGGTAGGTTGCATACACTGTTAGCATGCAATTGAGGAGTGGTGGCAGAACATAAGATTGCAATTAATGATATAAAAAAATCACAGATTTGTTCCGTGTATGTTAACTTTCCTATAATTGCTGTGTTTAACAATATAAAATATAAACTATATTACTTTTGAGAACAATGGGGAAAGGATTTGTAAAACAGCAAGTGAATTCTGAACTGGAAATCCAAGAACCATAATGGTCCAATTGTCCATTCCCTAATATTCTCATTGGAAATATAGACACCAACAAACAAAATAAAGTCATAACATAAGAAAAACATAAATTTTATTTCTAAGTCAGGTTTAAACTCTGATAATGAAAATTACTTAAAAGGATGATATTGAAATCTAGGGCCCTTCAACACATTGGTGTCTTAGCAGTGGGACTGGAATAAAATTTACCAATTTTATTATTTTCTTCTACAAAATTATCTTAAACATTGGTACTTTATACCATCTGTCATCTAAAAAAAGCTAGCAAGGAGGCACCTGGGTGGCTCAGTTGGTTAAGTGTCCAATTCTTGGTTTCAGCTCAGGTCCTGATCTCATGAGTCATGAGATAGAACCTCAAGTTGTGCTCTGCACTCAGTGGGAGTCTGCTTGGATATTCTCTCCTTCTGCCCCTTCCCCTGCTTGCTCTCTATTTCTCTCTCTCAAAAATAAATAAATAAATCTTTAAAAGAATAAAAATAAATTTAAAAAGCTAGCAGGGGTCAGAGTTAATGCAAAATGGAAATTGGGTGATTGTGCTTATCTCGAGGATTTGAGTAAATATAGTGCATATAGCTAGTAAAAATTATTGCAAGTTCTTACAGTAGTATTAAATTTAGTGTATTTCATGGAATTCAGAAGTCATGTCATGAATTTTGGGTGTTGCACATAAACAAGTTACCAAAGCATCAATTTCAGAAAGAAAGAATATTTTTAAACATATGTGTATTTATATACGTAAGTATATATATGTATATACATATGCAAATTATAGAGACTTTAAGATTTTTATATGAAAACTTACATTAACTATTATCATCCAATATATTTCGCATGACACAGGGAAAAATACCTGCTGTCACTGATCATTCAGTATATCCTTGAACAGAAAGTGGAATCCATTTGAGTACCTTGACAACAGCATTCTCTTGTCCGCTTTCTTCAGGAGCCACCATCAGCGTGATCATTAACGTCAACGTGCAAGCTTCTGTCATCGTCTCTGCACTGATCGCCACTCTGTACACGCTGGTGGGTGGTCTCTATTCTGTGGCCTACACCGATGTAGTTCAGCTTTTCTGCATCTTCATAGGCCTGGTAAGTGGAGCCATTCACAGACTTTCTTTCTTCTTTTACTTTTCCTCTCCTTCTTTCTAAAAGGTAATGTGGTATTTTATATGAACTCAGCAAAAATTAATAGAAATGTTATTTTCCATCATGAATAATACATAGTAAGTCATGTACCATTTGAAATTTTAGATTTCTCAGTGAATTAATTGGACAAAAAAATGTAATCATTTTGCTAGATTTTGACAGAAAATATGCCCTCAGTTTAATTCTTAGAAAGGTCTAGGGCTTCCTTTCCTTCATGCCTACGTTTGATGGAAACTTATGTGTGCTCTTCCTTGAGTTTGAATGCAACACACTTTACTCAGAGTTAAAATGTAACTGAGCAGGGAGCCTGAGGTGGAGCTTGATTCAAGGACTGAAGGATTATGACTTGAGCCAAAGGCAGATGCTTAACCTACTGAGCCACCCAGGCACCCACTGCATTGGTCTCTTAACCTTCCCCTCTAATTGTTTTAAGTGATCCATAAGACTGCTCATAAGACAGAAATTATCACATTTGAAAAACTGTGGGTTTCAATATTAATCATCACTATTTGTGGTCTAAAAACAAAGAAAAGGCTTAATTATATAAGATACTAGAAATATTTGTTATATATTGCTTATAAATCCTAAACTAAATTAGGTAATATATGTGTGTTTTATTCAGTAAAAGGTACTGTATAATTATGAGACGTATTATTGGTATTACATTAAAAGTGCTTTTGTGTATTATGAACACATTTTAGTCAACGTTGAGCCTTTGCAAACTCAACATTTTAAAATGTGAAGACTGCATTATTATACATATAATAATATCCAACACGTAAGACATATCCAAGAAAATGGTGTGAGTACTCCATGCTGGACACTGTAGTGGGTTCATACACATGTATGTTATCTCAGCTGTGTAGCCTATAGGACCAGTGCCCTTGGAGAAAGACCACAGAAAGAAGTAGCTAAGGCTGCACATCATGACTCCCTTCCCATGGATGATTAAAGCACCCTTGAGCCTCTTTTTTTTTCCTTCTTTTTCTCAGAATGAAAAGCTCTTCACTCTATTTTAATGCTTACGCTAGACATTTAGGAATGAAAAATGAAGTCGAAGCTCATACTCATTTTTGTTTTGTTTTTTATTTCCTAGCATCTGTAATAATGGGAGGAGCATTTTAAAAGAACTGACAACAACTAAAATTACAGTTTAGCCATAAATTTACATATGCTAGCAATGATCACAACATTTCCTCTTTTTCCATTAGCTCTATGTGCATTTCATGGAATCTCATTCACTAGTATCTTAGTTGAATTCAAGTCAATTTAATTTGCTTAATGACTCCTACTTTCTTATTTTTAAATTGTCAAAAGCAAGTGAACAGTGCTGAAATTCAGAATTCTGCTTAGTATCATCATAAACTTCCAGAAATAAATCTCTGTTCAGAACTTGGAGGCAAGTTTGGTTTGGCAATGACAGATCTCTTAGCTGATGCACTTGGTATACCAAGAAAGACAATGCTAGGGGATGAAGCTATTTATTGATGATATATGTAATTTCTCATTGCTTTTCATGAGATCAGAACTTAAAATACACAGGAGCATAAATCAAGCATGCGAGTATAAAGATGATAGGACAAATATATGTGGGGATAGATGTTAGAGTGGTTTTCTGCTACAAAATGTAACTAAACTAATGAGGAATCTAGTTGTCTTGGTTACTAGTTAAGAGCCTATTGACTTGACTGAGTAAAAGGCCAAGCTTGGTTTGTTTTCCAAGCTTCAAATGGCTATACATGCATACATAATTAATGAATCAATTCACACCTTAAACGATCTCCTCTCAAATTCTCCAATTCTGTTGATTTTATCACCATCCTTGGAGCGCCACAACTGTAAATTTGAGGTTCATCTGTTCATTTTCTTTCTCTAACTTCTTCCTACTGTAATCTAAGGGCTGCTCAGTCTCCCTTCAGAACTCTTTTCAGTACCAATGTCTTTCCATTTCTAGTATCATGGCTCTACTTAAGGCCCTTACCTGGGTCATATCAGTGCACCTACTGCTTTTCCTAACTCCTCCTTCTCCTAAGCTCACTGTTCACATCTATAATATTAAAATGCAGAAGAAATCTACTAAAATCTTTTTACAACTCAAAAGAAATGCATCTAGCTTCCAGTTGCCCACAAAACAAAATATAAACCCCTTAGCTTGCAATTCAAATTTCTTGCCATATATTTATGTTTATCTCTCCCATTTCCCTAAGCCACTCCCATTCCAGCACACCTTGTCATGCAGAAGATCTGTGTGCACACCCTGTATGTTTTTCTCCTCTTTGCCTTGTTCCACCTAGATGGCCTCCCCATTCTCTTCCTTCTTTTATTAGCCCTGGGCTCACCCTTGAAATTTTGTCTCACCCAACAAGTTCTCAATCAGATCTTTCCTTGTCACTTTAAGAAATGGACATCTTTCTCTAATTCAAGGAAAACATTAAAAGTTTATATATCGATATAATGTTCTCAAATTCAATGTTTTCTTCCCAAAGGTTGGCTGACTGCTCCTATAATTGATATGACATGGTATAATTAAGCACAGGCATAGATAATATGTTCCTCTAACTTTTGTAAATCAGTATTTCATGGTGTCCCACAGAGAACGTGATTCCAGGTTCTTCTCTGTCTGAACAAGAAGAACAACCGAGCTATGTAGTCTCTGAGAAAACAAACACATGGCTAAACCTTGTGTATATGAGACAGGCAAAAGCCATAGCTTAACTCTGTCACGTCCCTCTCTGGTTGCAGTGGATCAGCGTCCCTTTCGCCCTGTCGCATTCTTCAGTTACTGACATTGGGTACACTGCTCTGCATGCCAGATACCAAAAGCCTTGGCTGGGGACCATTGAATCATTTGAAGTCTATACTTGGCTTGATAGTTTTCTGCTGTTGGTAAGTAATGTCCTTACCTGAGGAAGGCAATTTCATTTTTCCTAAAATCAAGTGCATTTTTCAGATTTAAGGTTTATATGTAAATATCACCTACTGGCTCATGTCTATTTCTGCACTGACTACTTCCTGTTGGAAGGATGGAGCCACTTACTGACTATGGTAGCTGATTAGTGTCAAAGTGGAGAGAGAGTGAAGCCTTAAAGGGAGAATGTCTACAGGGTGATGTATGGTGTATCCACATTTCTATTGTGCTGTAAGTAAGGAACACCATGCCCTACCCCCAGGGACTTCCCCAGTCTGACACCAAGCCATCTAAAAGTTTTAATTTGTATTTTGGATTAAGGCATTAAAACCAGCTTCTTCTGAAATAAGTAACCCATTCAGTTTCTAATTACTGAGTAAGTAAATTATTGCCAAAAGGCCTTTAGTGCAGACAGAAGTTGGGAAAGGGGTGTCATTCAGGAAAGATGCCAAGAAAGAAGCACTGGGAAGTCAGAGACAGCTTAGGAATTTGCAGAACTTCAGGATGAAGGTGTTGGTAGTGAGACGTGGGGCACAGAAGAAATAAAGGCAGATCACAGATTGAGGGAAGAGGGAAAAACCAAAAGAACCTGCCAGATTTTGTGATTTTGCTAACTGGAGAGGTTACTTACAAAAGTAAAACACTGTATTTAATTTCAAAATAAGAAATAGATTAATGTTTATATCAAAATTAAGGGGAAATTATTTTTGTTTCCTTTTTTGAGGGTTCACAATATTTTATGATTTCACTTTGTATTTGTGGCACTTTACTAAATTTCAGCACTAAAAGTAGATGTGTCTGTCCCAGTAGAGAAATTCCTGGTAAGAAGGCAGGAAAACATGCAAACAAGCTGTTTCCAGGGGTGGGGGGGAGGGCTTCTTTCCCAAGGATTGTTAAGAAATGTATTGGCTGACATTTTTCTAGAATGGTTTATAATTATGAATTGAATGGAGAAAGGGTTAAATATTATAAGTATGTGAAAATATATCTGCATGGCAGGTATATTTATGGTTATATGGAGGAGATTATGGCACTCAGAGCAGATAGACGGTCTGTTGATAATCACACCATTGTGTGAATGAGGGATTGAAATAAAGCATCAAGACCCTAAAATCATTTCTCCTACACTACACTTTAGTCCTCAGATTTATTAATTTTCAAGATAAGGCATTATATCCAATGACTGCTAAAGTTTCTTCCATCCCCCCAAAATTATATGACTAAGTCATATTCATTCTTCAAAATGTAACATAAGTGGTAGTGAAATGATAGATGTTGAGTGAACGAATGAGTGAACTGTAGAAGTATGCCTCGAAATGTTTTGCCAAGGGTCTCTGATCTTCCAACTGTCTCTCTCAACTTCCACTTGTCATAAGTGACTTGTGGAGTCCTGCTCTGGATACCTTCCACGGATCTCCCAGCCCCACCCTGAACCTGCTCGCTGACAGCATTCCTCAGCTGGCCTATTGTGGTGGCCCTTCACAGTCTCCATGTGGCGGCCTGCCCGCATCTCACTTGTCCAAACCCTTCTTCCACCTTGCCATCAGGCCTTCTGTTTGTCTGCGGAGGTCAGATTTTACCTTACTTACAAAGCTCTGATGACCTAAATGTCCAGAGAGATTGGCATGTAAATTATGGTGTATCGATTCATACAGGAGTTGAAATTATTAATGAATATTCATTGGCATAGAAAATGTTAATGATATTCCGACAGTCCTGACTTTTAATGGTTCGACTTAACAGGTTTTCAACTTTGCAGTGGGGAGAAGGCGATAGCATTCAGTAGAAACCCTAGTTTGAATTTTGGTCTTTTCCCAGGTTAGCAATAGGTGTTATGATCCTCTCTCATTGTGCTGGGCAGCGGCCGCCAGCCACAGCTCCTAGTCAGCCATAAGGGTGAACAACGGATACACTGACAAACATTCTGTATCCATACACCATGCTGCTTCTCATTTTCGGTATAGTATTCAATAAATTATATAAGATATTCAACACTTCATTATAAAGTAGGCTTTGTGTTAGATGACTTGCCCAACTATAGGCTAATGTCAGTGCATGTTTAAGGTAAGCTAGATTGAGCTATGATGTTCACTAGGTTAGGTGTATTAAATGCATTTTTTATTTTGACTTCAGATATTTTCAACTTATGATGGGTTTATTGGGATGTAACCTCATTATAAGTCAAGGAAGATCTGTATTGATCAACAGATTGCAAACCAAAGGAAAAGTTTTGGAAGAATACAGACTTGAGGCATGGATTATGAATTTTAGAATTTCTTTTTTTACTTTTTTTTTAAATTTTGAACATGTATAGCTTTTATACGGAAGAGATTATCCTGGAATCGATATGTAACAAGCACTCTGATTAACACAGAGGTGAGAGTTGATAAACAAGACATCCCAGAATTTAGAGCCCAGTGAGAGAGACAGGCAATTAAAGAAACAACTTCAGTACATTGTAATATGGAAAATTCATTCATCAGTTCACTCATTCATATGATAAATATTTATTGAACACCGACTGTATGCAAGTCAGAGACCCATGGCAGTAATCATGGGGAAGGTATTCCCCAGACTCCTCTTTAGCCACTCCCACACACCCTAACCTTTAATCAAGCCAAAGACACAGTGGTCTCAGAGCTGTTTCATTGTTCTTTTTTCTTTCTTCCTTTTTCACACTGAATTCTCTGCCAGGGGCTCTCTTCTCTCTCCATCTCTATATAGTGACACCCTCTCAATGCTTGAGGACTGACTCCATGCAATTCTGTAGGGTTTCCTGATTACCATGCAGTTGTCCTTCATCCCACTTTCCCTCCTCCCTCTGTTACTCCTGAATAATTAATTTTCTCATTTTTTTCCCACGCATACCTCCTTATAGCAGGGTACAAATTACATTATAGTTCACTGTCTCCAAAATGCTTATGAATGCATATCCTCAGTAAGAATTGTAAGCACACTCCCAATGTAGATATATGTAGTTATGAATTACTTATACATAGTGTACTAATACATTATATAATCATTTAATAAAAAGAATGTAACATATAAGTATGAGGTAAAAAAGAGTATAAATAGAAATTCTAATATTTTATTTGATGCTATTGTCTATATTGTCTTGAGCACTCTGTACACCCCGCTTTGGAAAACAGTGTGTTGCATGACTCTCCGATATGAACAGGTTGCTCCAGAGCAAGAAACCATTCCCCTCACTACCATCCTATTACCTGGTTCAGAAATATTTATTGGGTTTTATTGATTCAAATTAAAATTCCTCCTTTCAGAATCTTAATTTTTTGAGACAATTTTGTGATGGTTAAAACCTCCAGACGAAAACAGGTTGAAGGCTTCTGGATAGTTGTAATGCAGTTTGAAATAGGTAAATTAAAGAATAGAAAAGGTTGGGCTATGTAATGATGAAGGAAAAAAACTTGAGGAAATTCTGCACAGTTGAAGATGTGACAATGACCTGATCACAATTGAGATGTTTGTCATGTAGGACTCTTTATGGCACATCAGAACCATACATTTGACTATTGTGAATGTGACTGTAAAAAAAAAAATCTTACTTAAAAATACCTAATAGATGTTGTTTGCCTCCAATTCATTCTGAGTCCCTGTTGTTTCCATGCAGATGCTGGGTGGAATCCCATGGCAAGCCTACTTCCAGAGGGTCCTCTCTTCATCCTCAGCCACCTATGCTCAAGTGTTGTCTTTCCTGGCAGCTTTTGGGTGCCTGGTGATGGCTCTACCAGCCATACTCATTGGGGCCATTGGAGCATCAACAGGTATATCTCTTGCCACTTCACTAATTGACCCACTGAGGCTTCACTGAAGTGACTAATTACCACCCACTGCCCTCCCTCCCCCACTTGCCCTCTTACCCCCACTTAGTTGATTGTTTCTCATCATATTCATATAGACTTTTATTATAGCATTCAAATAATTGTATTATAGCCCAGTGCCTCCAAACAGTTTTTGATTGCTCTCACCACTAATAAAATATATGTGAGCATACCCCCCCATGTTGGTATACTTAAGAATTGTGTATATGTAATCCTGTCAGCAGTGGCTCTCAGTCAAGGTGCACATTGACATCATCTGGGGAGGAGAAGAGATGCTTTAAAAAAACCTATTTCTATCTTACCCCACAGGGATTTTACTTTAATAATCTAAGATGGATCCAGAGACTGGTGTTTTTTAAAGCCCCTTGGTTGGTCAAAGTTGGTCTGAGTTGAAAGCTACTGGCTTAGAAATTTAACTGACACCTAAGGACCACTTTGAACTGGAGATTCCTGCTTTACATTCTTAATAGTTTGTTAATTAAAAGTTTTCTTTCTTGGAGAAATAAATCAATAGATGTGCAGGTAAAGGTAAACTTAAGGTACTGAGACTTAGAGAATAACTTACTCAAAATTGGTAAAAAGAGCATAACGAGATGCTTGTCTCCTAGTTAGCTTCTATCTAAGACATTTTTAAAATCTCACGATTAATTTAATTGAAATTGTTAATTTTTCCTGAAACTTACATATCTATGCTATATAGCTTCCAAGAGCATTCATGAAAATACATCACAGTAACCCAAATTCAAAGAAGTCCTGTAGGTAGAAATCATTAAAACAGACTAAAGAAGTTTACCTTTCACTCCACTGTGTTTTGTAAGGATGATGCAAGTGATACCCCAATGGCTATTTTGATTTTCAATTAGTAGAGCTACTTACTGGGTTATGTAACTTTTACAAGAGCAGCCATGGCTCATAGTGTACATTCTCCATTCCAGTTGTTCATCCATAGCATAAACAAGCACTTAAAAAGATGACTGACAAAGGTGATTGTGTGCCTTTGAATAAAAAATAGCATTTCTGTCACAATCAAAAAACAGATCTGGCCGTGTACTCACGCTTGTGCATGTGTGTGTGTGTGTGTGTGTGTTGTAGGACAGCAGACTAAAAAGGCCAATGTAAACTCTATTTTGTTCTTGGATTAGGTACACATTCTTGGTTGTTATTTCTGGTACCATAACGTCTCAATGAATGCTATAAAATTGGCTTCAACAAAGCATATCTTTGAACAACTGTAGTGGAAAATGGGGGAAGAAAACAGTGATAGGATTCAAGGGAAACCATTCCTATTTGGTCCTGGAATTATGCCATAGAAGTTCAGCAAATAAAAAAGGAGCTATACTAATGTACATTTAAGGATTCCATTGTATTCTTCAGTACATGATAGTATAACTAAACAGTAAAGAACTATATATTCAAAGATAAACTTATTTTTTTGTTTGTTTTCACCATGATTGTCTCCATCTTGCATGGTGCACAAGGTATTTTTGTACCCGTTACAATAAAGCCTTAATAGCCATTTTCTAAAATCAATTCGAAGATATAATTCCTTCTATGAATTCTACAGTTCAGCAGACCAACTCATCATAAAATCTAAATAATCTTATAGCCTATTTTACTAGTGGCTTATCTCAGATTCTGTTGAAGAAGAATAATATTAATGTTGGTGAGTCTTAGACCATTAATGGAGGTTTGTATAAATCAAAACTTTCAGGTTTTTGGCTGCATTTAAAAAATTAATGGAAAATTTTGGAAAATAATGCTGACAGTGTTTAATTGATCATGCAATTCCTTCAATTATGATAAAAAAGACAAACTTTCTGACATAAAAAATACAGTGTCTTATTTTCTTCATAGTATCAATATCAGATATAATTTCTAAGTTTCAAATTTTAAAACTTGAAAGCACATTTGCCTATTTTTTTTTTCAAAAAACCGTTTATATATTTGAAGAAACTGCATGTTGCTTACTTGGCTTTGTGGTTTTAAAAAACATTTTCAGACACTTACATATATTACTTATTGTATGAAAATGTGTGGTTGTATAATTTATGAATGTAGTTTTTCTAAATCAGCTTCGCAGTGTTATTTTGTGAGATAAAAAAATTGGTAATACTCTGTAATGAAATTTTACTCCAAAGGTTAATCTATTGCACTAACTATAATTTGGTGAATTCCCAGATTTTGGCTGAATATTATCATCATTCACACCTATGCAATCAGAATCTTTCAGGATACTCTGCATTGTAAAGGCATGCCTGAGAGATCCCAGTGTTCATTAAGGTTTGCGAACCACTGAATTAATCCAATGATGATTCTTCTTTTTACTTCTTGCTTTAACAAAATCAAGGACTTGTCATTCTCTGCCCATTTCTTCCTTATCCTCACAACTGTCAAACTGGTTCATTGCTTTTAACAGCCTGGCCCACAGACTTAGCCAGAGATGTGCTGCAAACAGTTGCCTGTGGATCTCTGGTGCCCATACCCTCCTGCTTCCTTGAGACTCTTTTTATCTTTTATGTTTTGAGTCCTTTTACACAAAGTCCAAAATCCTCCTGAAGTGCAGGCTTATACCTGCACTTTCTACTCAATAAAGCAAGGACTTTCTTTTACGTATCATGCCTCCTGTTTCCAGGAGGTAGAATCCAATGCAAGAAGGAATTTAGTTGGGAGAAAAATAATGTTGAGGGAGCTCCAAAAACCAAGTTTATATACAGGAAGAGGATGGGTGAGAATAGCTCCACTATCGTCTATACATTAATGAATGTCTGACTGAGGACTGAGCACTGAAACACTAAGTGTCCTCTCACATCTCCAACTGGTTGAAGAAATACTCTATGCTTTTGTTTTATAACATTTGTTTTCTATGATTCTGTACAATTTGATGTCATAATTACAGAATAGAAATAGGTAATAGGTAAGTAAGTAAATAGATGATTGATGATTGTTAGATGATAGATGATACATAGATAGATAGATAGATAGATAGATAGATAGATAGATAGATAGATAAACAGGTCTTATGAATAAGGCTAAGTGTAACCAAAACCCATTAGAGGCCAGAATTGTATATAAGACAATGGGTTTCCCACCTACTCAGACCAACATACCTAGTTAGATTTCTAGGCCGAATTATAGACTTCTCCTTTAGTTAGACTTATTCATACATTCTGAATTTATTTCAAAAGCTCCTAGTAAATAGGATGACCCCCAGATGGATAAAGAACATATGGTTCTTTGGTTGTTTTTATATGTGTTTTTTCTATTCAACAGACTGGAACCAGACTTCATACGGGCCTCTAGGTCCCAAGGACAAAAATGAAGCGGACATGATCTTACCCATTGTTCTGAAGTATCTCTGCCCTGTGTACATTTCTTTCTTTGGCCTTGGTGCAGTTTCTGCTGCTGTTATGTCATCAGCAGATTCTTCGATCTTGTCAGCAAGTTCCATGTTTGCCCGGAACATCTACCAGCTTTCATTCAGACAAAATGTAAGAATGGTTTTTCCAAACGTAACGTTATTATTGTTGTTGTTGTCATCATTGTATTTATTGTGTCTGTAGTATTATATATTTATTAATAGCCTGTATTAAAATCAGACTCTAGTTTGATTAAGCACACAAGGTTAAATAATGCTGAATTTTATTTAAGTGGTACATAAACATTTTTAATGCATGCTATCATTTATGTTGGTATGGAAGGGACCAAATCAACACTAGCATTTTTCGAGAGGTACAGTCATATTGCTATAATTTATATTTCTTGTCTTTCTAATGAAAGAGTCATGAAACCTAAAACATCGAAAACCTTTGAGTTTAATCAAGTATGATAAGAAACTTGAAGCAGAGCATAGTGAGTAAGTTATTTCCTGGGCATTTGTGTAGCATCTGTCCCACTCTTCACTTGAACTCCCAAGTCTATATTGGTAAGAAAATTGCCTTTCAGTGTGATTGACCTTATTGAATCAGGTAGGTGCAGAACAGCACTGTTGTGTCACTGAGGAGCCAATAGCCCCTATTCACCTTCTTCCTTCACTAAGGTTTTGTCTTTCTCTAGTTTTTCTAGGTCGTAGTGAACAAAATGGTTCCACTTGTTTTTAAGGTGGCTGGACTTAAAGATGGTAGGACTCCCAGGAGACAGCAAGCAAGGGTGGGCCATACCTCCTCACAGCCACATAGGAATTATTCCTTAATTGTCCTTAATTCCTTATGTAAAATATGTGAAATCCTTTCTTGCATTATTATTCCCCTATGACAGCATGTTAGTTCATCTCTCCTCTGCCCTGCGCATTCAGCGAAAGGTGTAGCTGCCTGTGCTTCTGCACGTGGCACACAGAAACCAGGGAGGCCACCTGGACGGCTTGCTCCCTACGATGTGGTTTAGGTGATTTTGGCCGCATTGAACTATATGAACCAGGGGAATTGTTTACACCAGCTTTAAAGCACAGAGATACATCTCATTCTTCACCTAAATGAGCCAGTGCACTGTGTGAAAAGCTGTTACTGTGGCAATTTTTGCAGGCATCAGACAAGGAAATCATCTGGGTCATGCGAATCACCGTATTTGTGTTTGGAGCTTCCGCCACAGCCATGGCCTTACTAACGAAGACCGTGTACGGGCTCTGGTACCTCAGCTCAGACCTCGTTTACATCATCATCTTCCCCCAGCTGCTTTGTGTGCTCTTCGTCAAGGGAACCAACACATATGGGGCTGTGACAGGTTATGTGTCTGGCCTTTTCCTGAGAATAACTGGCGGGGAGCCATATCTGTACCTGCAGCCCTTGATCTTTTACCCTGGTTATTACTCTGATAAGAATGGCATATATAATCAGAGATTCCCATTTAAAACCCTTGCCATGGTGACCTCGTTCTTATCCAACATTTGCATCTCCTATCTAGCCAAATACCTATTTGAAAGTGGAACCTTGCCGCCCAAATTAGATGTGTTTGATGCTGTTGTCGCAAGGCACAGTGAAGAAAACATGGATAAGACAATTCTGGTCAAAAATGAAAACATTAAGTTGGATGAACTTGCACCTGTGAAGCCCCGACAGAGCCTAACTCTCAGCACCACTTTCACCAATAAGGAGGCCTTCGTCAACATCGACTCCAGCCCAGAAGGGTCTGGGATTGAAGATAACTCATAATGACCCCATCCAAATAAAATATTGCTTTCACAAACAGAGCACCACAGCAGGCTAATCTGGGTTGCAGCATATAAAAAATATACTTTAAAAACAAACAGCATTCAGGAAGACAAAAATCCATATAGAAGTGCAATTGCAAAAGTGCAAGCCAAGCTAGAAGGAAGCATCTGTGAAAGCAACAGCTTGCTTTCTCATCGGTATTTCTCATCCTCATTTGATTCTGACTCTAGTTAGTTTTGTTAAGTATTCAAAATTGAATTAAGACCCACTCAAAGAACAGAGGGCCAAACAGAGTATTTATTCTGAAAAAAAGAAGTAGATACAAAATGAAAGAGCCAAGGAAATTAGGTGGACTTGATCCAGACCTTGTCTGTTAATGCAGTAGTGGGTCTAGTTTACAGTCGCAGTGAAGCAGGAGAGGAACTTGCCATCACTCCAATGAATGGTGCAACAAATTAACCACTGATTGTCCTGATGTGATGATTAATCCCTTCTTTCATGTTCTTAATTAGAACATTTACTGAATATGCATTTCGTTTCTCTTTTTGTAGTGGCACGTATTATTCTGAGCGCAGACAAAGCAAACACACACAAAATATCATGTTGTGTCATTTCTTTAGGTACAAGGTAATAGGAAAGCAGAATCCATCTTTGTAGAGGAGCACTGGTTCCTCTGAGTGTGTCTAATAGCTACCATATGCATTGAGACACATACCTGGAGGATGGAAGTCATGACTACTAGGCAACCTTAAAGCAATAAATCAAGAAGGCCATTAAGCAGAAAGTGACAGGAAGAAGAGTGGGTTTTCACTTTCATATGAAGTTTATATAGTTTTGCTTCATGATAAAAGAAGTAATGTCTTGGCTTCCTATCTAAATTGGTATTGGAAGTGAAATTGAGCCATATATAAGGTGAGGGAGCAGTGTACGCCAATTAAGGTTAATGAGAGATGAACAGCACCTCTTGATAAAACTAGAAAAACAAAACCCTCTCAATTTTGAACATTCATTTATGAGGATGATTTAGTGTCAAGAGAGTGACTCTGTGGCACTTTTTGCAAAAACCAGTCTTAGGTACTAGACAAATCACCACTACAGAGAGTAGACAGTGAATTTTAAAATGCAGAAGAAAGCAGAAAGTAAAAATAAGTCCCAAAGGGAAAAAGCCATCAATTTTAACATTTGGTGTCCACATAACTTTCATGAGGTTGGTCATTAAATATTATTTTACTCCTTTTCTGGAGTTAAAAAATACATATGTGTATATAAATATGCAATGGTTTATATGATTTTAGAATTTTAAATGCTTTCCCAGTAGTCACATTATAGAAATAACCATAGCTGTGTCTACAAAAACAGAGTGAATTGATGAGCTAAAAAATTATCTGAGCATTTGATCCAATAAGGAAAGTCAACATGACTTATTTAAACTAAAGCACATTGTCCAAAAACATTTGTTTTGCAATTCATAGACAAAATGAAGTTAATTCAGTGTTCAACATTAAGTATAAAAGTTGTGTTGAGGAAGCTAGAATTCCTTTTTTTAAAAATTTTTAATTATCTAAAAGCATCAACTAATGCATCTATTTATTATTATTATACATGAATTAAATTCACAGGGTAATTTTTTAAATATGAATTAAATAATTTTATATGTTGTGATGTCCCATATTTTAATCCTTTATCAAAACTTGATGGAGAATATGATGTTGTGTTCAAAATCTTTATAGACCATCATCTATACTTAAATGAAAAGAGAATTCTTTTCACTCATCTATTTGCTCAGAATCTTCTTTATGCCTAGTACCCAGTGGAGTACTTGGAAGGAGCACATTTTTGGAACCGGTAGGTGTGGGAATCCCAAGATTCTCAGACATGGATGGAGAAAAGAACCCAGGGCAGGAAGCTCACGAAGGACAAAGTACAATGATGGAAACATTTGGCATGGAAAAGTGATTAATTGTTGGGGACCGCAGTTCCTGGTACATCTGCTCCTTCAGATGTTCCATGCTCTGCAGCACACTACCTGAATAATTATTTTTATGCACCCCATCACCCTGAATTTTTGTTTCAACCTATTTAGGCGCCAGTTTCCATAGACGATATCGCCCATATAAAATATAACAGAGATTTAGTCTCTTTGAAGATGTTATAATTTACTATTTTACTGGGCAGCAGTTGTCCAAATATGTTCAGATATGTGCAATAACCATATTTAAATCCAGTGAAATAGAATAAATATTAACAGTGAAAATTTCTTCCATTCCATTCATTTTGTAATAATAGAAAGATAAGGGGGGAAGGGTTTACCTTGTCCAAAATATTAAAAACTAGGTATTAGGATAAAACACATATTTTATTTTCATACATCTACAATAATTGTAACATGATAACATGGTTTCTTGGGTAATTTTAATGTGCTTTTTTTTCCCCCACACATATTTTCCAAAACATCAAACTTGTAGCTGGACTGAAAAGTCAACAAGCTTTCAAACACTCAGTGTAAAATTCAACTTTGTTGCTACTGTTAAAAGTAATGAATTTTATGTGAATGTCAAATGAATGTAAGCTTGTAATAAGTGAATCTAATGTAATGGCTATTAGCTTTTTTATTTGGAAATAATGAATTGGCATTGTATTTTAAACATGAAGTGTGACTTTTTCTTTTTACTCTTTGAGAAAATTTACTCCGGCATAATGTATAATTTATTGTAAGTTTGCTACTGAACAGACAGATACATATAATGGTTCTAAACATATATTTTTGTCTGTCAAGATATTATATAAACTATGCTTAAACTAAGTAGATTTGCAACTATACATGTAAATGTTTTCAATGTAATGGTATTGTATTAAATTGTGCTGGTGCAATTCAGGAGATCATTGTCTAGGTTTGGTTTTTTGGGGCCCTCCCTTAAAACAAATATAAGTGGTGCTTGGATACAACTATGCAATGGAATTGAAATAAACCATCTCACTGCTGGAACATATAAAAATATAAAATGGAAATATTGCACCTTGCATAAATCTTAGGGCAATATATGATGTCATATCTCAAAAAATATGAATTATTGTTCCTGGAAAAGAAGTTCTGCCACTGCACACAGGCCTTTCTTTGAGCCAAACAAATCAGTAGACAGAATATCTATTCCATTCATATCAAGATAGCTGCATCTTAAAAACCAAATAGGTGTCTGATAATTATTGATCTAGGATACACAACCAATCACTAAGTGAAGAACTGTCCTCATTATGCTCTAAGTATGTACTTTATATCTCTTACTAACTCTCTCCAAGTGTCTTGAAAAGTGTAATTATATATATCCTCAGAAGAACTTTGGCCTCTTACACCTTCATCATAAACATTTGTGCCTTTGGATCTATAGAGAGGAGGGGCCTAGAATGAGCTTAAGGATGAATGAAGGAAAGAATAAGTAGTTACAGGAAGAAATATACCAGTTTGTCTGTCATCGTGGACACATTTCTGAAGAGCCTGTATTTTGCTTTATCAGAAATCTATACTACAGGGGAAATTATTAGGAGCTAGAAAAGACAATGTGTATTGGAGCCTGTGTATGCTTTCTTCATTTTAACCCTAGTATTAAGAGAGTTTAATATGATCACTAACATTCTCCTCTAAGGCAGATATTCTGAGAGAGGTCCAAAGAGTTACAAGATGATGATAAATGATTACTTCTTTATATTTTATCCAATCACCCAAAGAAAAACCCCAAAACAGTAAAAACAGCCATCTCCTAGTATTTAAGTTCTTTATAATCAAGAAGTATATGGTAGTTTTGTTTTGGTTTTTGGTTGGAAAGCTATGGTTATCTATTTAAAAGAAGCACCACCTTATGTATTTTGAAGTCAAAATGCTGTGTTGGTTTATGAATTTTTGAACTAGGAGTAGTTAAAAACATAAACCAGATAAAACCAAAAGGCTAATAATGATAGAGTAGTGGTATTAATGAAAGGAATAACTGAAAATGGCCTCCTGATGGTGCTGCAAAACACAGCTAGAGTGAGTGAGCCACAGCACAAGAATGACTCGGACTCACCGGCCTCTGGCCTGGTTGTAGCATAACAGTAGGTAAGAAAGGAAATGCAGAGTAAGACACATACGGCTTCAAACAGCCACCCTGCCTCAGACTGAGGATCTCAACAGTCAAAATCTCAGTCAAGGCATTTAACCTCTAGGGCCTCAGTTTCCCAAATGAGAATTGGCATTTGTCTGTTACTAGGCTGAAATTATATGATACCTTAAAGGGTATGTGGTAGATAGAACACACTTAACAAGTGTATATGGAACTATAAACATGGCTCTCCAACTGGGAGAATTGGACAAAACACATCTAGCGATTTGGGAAGTTATTTTGCCTGTGAATCTTGTCATATTCAACTAGTTTTAAGCCTGGATTCTAAATTAGGAGTGAAGAAAGAAGAGACATGTTTTAAAGTACATTGACATGTAGGTTAAGTTTACTTTATTTGGTTTTTCAAGGACCTAATGTAACAGAATTTTAATGCAGCTCTGCATGCACCCCAGTTGTGGTCCGTGCATGAATATGAACTTAACAAGGAGTGATGAAGTCTATGGGAAAGTTTATCTCATTATTTGTGTGGGAATTTTCGGGCAATACCACCACCAAGAATACTTTGTGCTTGGAGTAAGAAATGGAAAGCCTATGGGCCATTTGTAGGTTTGGAAAAGTCAATCAAAAGTTTCTTTAGTTTGGCTGTTTTGTGTATTTTTGATCATCCCGTGTAAAAGCATCACATGACTCAATCAATTTTTAAAGGTAAAAAAAAATGATAGGAGATTGAAAAAGCAAATTTCGTTTTTTGAAAATCACTCGAAGCTGGCCTTCAGAGCTCATAAATGTTTATGTTGGGGGTGGGAGTGGAAATGTGCTGATGGACACCAATAGAAATTAACATGAAATTTAGAAGTATCAGATCACGAAAGCATTGCAAACCATATTACTCTATATAGGTTAAGA